ACATGTAAAGAAAAGCAAATAAATAAAACTTGTATTGAAATAAACTGGAATGAAGAACTTTGTATTTAAAACAAGGAATTGAAAGCAATTGTAATAAAAAAAATAAGATACCATAAATAAAGAACTTTGCTTGTAAAATAAAACTAAACTAAGAACATGAAGAAGAAGGCGGAGCATCTCCCTCCCTTGGAAGGAGAAAAAATGTTTTTCTAGAGGTCCCAATGGGTTGGTATTTATAAGAAAAACATGGAGAGGGAGATAAAGCTGATATCTTAGAGATTCTTTTTTCTAATATGTTTATCTTTTATTCCTAGAGAATCTCCAAAAATATCTCCAACAATATCTCTAAGATTGAACCAAAAATTCATTTCCTAATTTTTCTCTTTTTTCTCAAATAAAGGTCTTGGAAGATCTTAGAAAATATCTTTGAATACTTAGTTAGTCAATGCCTAGAAAAAGGAGTTCTCGTCTAAATCTGATGTTGACCTACCGGTAGAACATTGAATACCTATTCGTAGAACTTCTTTGATGAAAACTTGTAAACTTCTGTGAGCTCAGCTACTGGTAGAACTGACTTCATACCCGATAGAACTTTGTCTTTCTGTCTTCCTACTGGTAGAAAACCTATCGGTAGTTCTTCTCTTTTCTTCAATTGACTTTGCAAGGCCTCCGGTTTCATCTAATCCCGAGCAAACTCACTGCCACCTTGTGTCTTGCTATTATATCCATGCTAAAACTCCATGTTTATACCTAAAATACATGCAACCATAGTTATCAAATCGTGTATCGGAAGGCGTATCGTAAGATACAAATATTGTATCGTATCGTGTATCGTAAGATACGATGCAATTTTAAATAAATAATAAAAAAATATATATACCTTTGAAAAAAAGTCATACACTCATAAAAAATATAGCATTTCATTAATACTCCACCAACTATTCAAGTTATCAACATAATCCACTACTATTATAATGCAAAGTTCACAACCATAGTTCACTAATTCAAACTTTAAACACCAAAGAGACTTCTAATCCAAATTTCTAACATCCATTTTGAACTCAATCTTCAATTTCAATTGAAAATGCATCATCATCATCATCATTGTGATCGAATGCCAACAAGTCTTCACTTGTCTTTTTTTTTTAAAAAAAATCAGAGCACAAAACGACTTCGTTTTTTTAAAAAAAAAAAAAAAAAATTGCACGTATCGTGCGTTTCGTACCGATACGTATCGTATCGTAAAAACGTATCGTGTATCGGACGATACAACGCAAAAACGATACATAACTACGATCCGTATCGTTTTAGGACTGTATCGTAACGTATCGTACGATACGTATCGCGTATCGTACGATACTAACAACTTTGCATGCAACACCAAAATCAAGGCATAAGTTACAAAATGCACTATATGAAACATGTTAGTTAGCAAGCTTAAATTGGATGTGAAAGGTTATGAAATAATGCAATATTGAGTGCTCATTACACGGACTAGATGGTCTTACAATATGAAGGCCAACACCCATTTTTTTTTTATAAGACAACAGTTTATTGATAATCATAAGAAAGAATTTACAAGCAACAAATCAATGGTAGACAAGGAATCCACATAATGACTACAAACCACATGAAGCTCTCCAACTTGTTCTAATACAAAAGAAAGGAATATCCTCATCCTCCTTAGTTGTGCAAGTCTAAAAAGAAGTCAAAAAATGAATTCTATCTCATGGTCCCTCAACTTCTTCACACTTATCCTAAAAAATTCTTGCATTCCTTTCTTTCCAAATCACCCACAAAGTAGCAAAGAAAGCATTTTACTAAAAAATCTTTCATTTTCTATTTCTCCCAAACCCACATCATTTAAATAAAATATAGAATTCATATCCCTTGGGGCGACCCATCAAAAATTCTCAAGACTAAAAAGTTTATTCTACAAATTTCGTGCCGAAGGACAATGCTAAAAAGGATGATCCACACTTTCATAATTCCTTCTACACATAACACACCATTGCAATTGAAGACAAAACTTAGGTCTCCTCTTTTGAAGAACCTCATTGGTACTAATCTTTACCGTGGACAATAATTCATGCACAAACTTGCACTTTTAAAGGCACTGTTGCTTTCCAAATCTCCAATGATAGTCCAAAAGAACAATTAAAGGATCATCAATTAAAGACACAAAAAAAGATTTACAAGAGAAGACATCCATTGGATCACCAATCTAATACCTCCTATCCTCCAAATTTGGAGACAACTCGACATGATTAAGCGAGGAAAGAAAACTCGTCAAATCCAAACATTCTCTATCATTAAGACTCCTATGAAACCTAAATTCTCAAGAAATCAGATTAAAGTATGACCGAACCATAGAGGAAATCCAACCCCCTTGATAACCCGACACCATGTATAGTTGTGGAAAGAGAGTAGAGAAAGAAGACCCACCGACTCAAATATCCTCCCAAAAATATACTCTATTTTCAACACCCACAATGAACTTAACTCCTTGAGTAAAGCAAGGTAACCCCTAAGAGATAAACTTCTACGAACTCCTAAAAGTACCTATTTCAACCTCATTAGCATCCACCTCTTAGCCTGTAGCCCATATTTGCTCTTAATAACGGCATGCCACAATGAATCTTGCTCCAAAGGGAACCTCCATGACCGTTTTCCAACCAAAGCACCATTCCTTTTCACCAAATTCCCTATCGATAGCTACCCTTTATCTTTTGGCCTCCTCACAACCTCCCACCAAATGAAGTGAACATTTCCTACCTCTCCCACCCCTTCCCATAAAAAGTCTCTTATCAAACCTTCAATTTCCTTAGCCACCACTCCTAGCATTTTAAACAGAGACATGAAATATATTGGATCAAAACAGACTGAATCAAACGTTACTATACCCCCTAAGAAATAAAGGATTTCTTCCATCCATCTGATCTCTTTCCAACCTTGTCAACCACAGGATCCCAAAAGGTTCTTGACAATGGATTGCCACCTAAAGGAAATCCTAAGTATTTCAATGGCCACTAATGCCCATGATACCAATTGTAATGTCTTAGACCTATATTGCATAATATTATATGTTTTGGACTAGGCTCATATGGATCTAAAACATCACAAGTGATGTGAGATCTAGGTCATCACAATCCACCCCTTAGGTTTAAAACTACTCGTTTTTACCCATCCTGACTCGGGTGATGTGGGATTCAAAGGATCACTCCAACCACACAAGTTGTTATCGTCCCAAGCAACCACCAGCCAATCAGACCATGGTGCACCTAGGGATGCATCAACTTGGGGACCTCTACACCATGGGGGTCAATACCTCGAACATCAATTTGAGCGATTCATTCTCACATTATACAGTATTGTACGCTTTAGGTTAGGCCCACACATCTTCAAAACACATTGTACAAATTAAGGTACAAAGCTCATACTTATGTATTTGTCTACCACATGCTTCACAAAGTGATGCAAGATCTAAATCACCACATCATCTCTCTAGCACATTTGATGCCATCTTATAATTAGTCATAAAATCAAACCAATGAACACGTTTTTACGTAGAAATCCAAAACATTTTCCTTGGAATTCGCAAAATTCATCCTCACAAGTGCTCCACGTAGAATTCTTCATGTGTCAACCACGTATCGAACGTACGAAATGCTTTACTAATAGAATCCTTCATCCAGCATTGCCTTCAAGATCCTCCAACGCCTAAAAAGCATATATCCAGTTGACATAGTATAATCTGTGGAAAACAGAAAAAGAAAGAAAAGAGAACCTGGGAAAGATAAAAGACCAGAGTCCTAACAGAAGCCACCTACAGAGAATATGCATCTGAGATTTTGCTGACTAGAGGGTGTTTATAACTGAAGTCACAAGTTTTGGTAAAAGATGAGCCAAAAAGATCAACCTAAACACTTTAGTCTATCTCTCATTACATAAAGGAGGCCACGGTATTGGCAAGGAATTCTCAATTACTCTCCTATGTTAAGCTCACCCATAAAACGCGAACAAGCTTATATGGCTTGGAAACTTTGCAGGTAGAGCATCCGACTACCGTTCAAATGCCCCCATTTGAGTGGCCAAGTTCTCATTTCATGGTGACTGAAAAGTGAACACCAGTCTCTGGGTTATCAAAATCAGATCTGAAATACTCCGTTCAAATGCTAAGTGAGCTGCTATCAAACTTTGGTCTTCGGAGTTTGTGTACTTGAATCTCAATATGACCTCGTTCAAACACCTAAGGGTCCGTTTCAAATTTTCCAAAATTAATGCGTAGATCAAGTAGGATCTTCCTATTCAAGTTCACTTAATTTTAATTTAGTTAACCACTAAAGCTCACTAAGTTCTAGGTCCTCTTATGTCTTTCAGGAAGGATCCCTTGATAAAGTCTTTGTTGGTTAACACACTTCGGCTTCACTCTTCAATCACCTACGGCATAGGCATATATAACTTCCACTTGTGTGACTCGTGGAGTTTTCCAACTCAACTCGAAACCCCACATGATCAAACTTTCTAAAGAGATTCTCGAAAGGTATATTTATACTAGTATAGGCTGAAAATTTTAGGTTGGGTAACAACGTAATATGATTAAGATCCAGAAGGATAATGGTAGAAGAGAAAACAATGCTTTTATTTCGAACATTACAATGCTAGCTAGAGATAGGTAGAATTGGGGTGGTAAGGAATGTAAGGACTAGAGATTGTTAACTTTTTGAAACACATGGAAAATATATGTAATAGTATAATGGTATTCTAAATCTAAACCCTTACAATATCCATAGCCAATGTTTGACAGTATAAATGAAAAATATGGTTTGAGGTTCATGGTCAAGCTTGCATTTCGTTCTCTTGATCCGCCCTTCAATCCCATCTGATGATAGATATCGACACTTTCTTTTTGCCTTTGATGGCATGTTTGTTGTAAACGTGAGCTTTCCAATGGATTAATCATATGGTGGCTTACTTCCTTTTTAGCATTGGGGTGTGGGATGTTTCTAAGAGGAGATATTGGTGATTCTTCATATGCATATATTACGGGTGGCCTTGTGCACGAGGTTACCTTTGTGGTGGGATCTGGGGAGAGTTAGATGTATGCAGCTTTATCCCAGTATTGCAAAGAGATTGTTTTCGCAACTCGAACACTCATGTTTACAAACATTCCTCAAATTTGCTTTACACATGTTTTTTCCTTTTGCAGATCGAGGATATGTGCCGAAGCACCAAAGCATCTGCCGTTCCAGTTGTGCCTGACTCTGAAGGTTCTTATATCTAGTTGCATTTTAAGCTCTCGTTATCACTTTTTTATTTGTTTTTCCCTGTTAGTGGTTTTGTTGTCGATTTGTAGCTTTGTTGCTAATTTCATGTGCAAGCTGTGTAAAGTTTTTGTGCTGGCTTCTTTACTGATGTCACATTCTCTATCTTATAAGGTTGTAATGGTTTTTCTGTGGTTTGTACTTTAAGATTAAAAATTAGTTTTATGCTCTGTAACTTCATCCTCCGTCGTCATATAATTACTGTGCACTTGTCAAACACTGTGCTTTTGTTTCCTCTTTTTTCCCCTGGCTGAAAACCTGTATGCATTCAGAGCTGGATTGAGGAGTAATTTTTTATTTTGTTGGGATTTTTTGTTCGCATTGATACATCATATATATGTGATAAATATGAATCACATTTACACTAATTATGTACATTTACATTTTGCAATGAAATGAAAGTGTTGTTTCTTGTCAAATAAATAAATACTATAAGTATCTTCGAAGCATAATATCTGCATACTCCTAGGGTTTTGGTTTTTTGCATTCCCTCTTAATGAGCATCTTTTTCACACACTGCTTCACATTGTGACTATCTTCTAATCCTAGGGTTGAGAATTGAATTTTGAGGTTGGCATGTCTTCTAATTGCTTGTGTTTTGTGTTAAGGTTTTTCCCTGAATTCCTTGCCTGTTGGGCTGAAACAAATGTGCAGGAACTGAAACAAATCCATTTTCTCTTGATGCATTAGCTGTTTTCATGTTTCGTGTGCTTCACCGAGTTAATCATCCGGTACTTACAATGTTCTTTACATCCGTGTGATTTGAAGTCCACAATTGTAGATACAATGGAGTTCATATTCCTGATACTTCTCTCCTGCTGTAAAATTTGAAGGGGAATCTTGACAAGGCATCTCCAAATGCTGGCTATGTGTTGCTAATGTTTTATCACCTTTATGAGGGCAAGGTGCAAATTAAAATGATGTTAATATTATATAGATGTTTATTACCAGAAATTATTTTCTCAATCTCATCAGATCTCATTTCTCAGAGTCGCAAGGAATTTGAGTCTGAGCTAATTGAACGCTTTGGCTCAATTGTGAAGATGCCTCTACTGACGCCCGATAGGTCAGAATAGTTTTCTTCTAAGGGTTACCTTTTTTTCTATTTTCTATTTTCTATTCTGGCACTTATTATATCAGATTAAATTGCTATTTTCTGTTGATTGACCGGATTACAGTTATTATAATATGCAGTGGTTGTTATTATTGTTGTTGCTATTGTAGTGCACCTCCTGTACTTTCTGTCCCATCTTGGGTTAATGTCCTACCAGCAAGAATTAAAATTTCATTTCGAAACGGTCAAAACAGCCGAAAAGTTTTCGTTTCCAAAGAGACCAAAACGAATCAGTGATGGAATCGAAATTCTAAAACTTCGAGGTGTTTCATAATGTTTCAACGCATTTACAGAATTGTTTCGGAATGTTTGAAGGTGTTTCAAAATGTTTTGGTATATTTTGACTTATGTTGTAGAAAAATAATTCTCAAATTTTTTATTTGTTTACATTCAGTTTTCAAAACAGGTCGAAACGGGTCAAAAAGAAATGAAATTCTATTTCATTGGTGACTGAAATCATGCATTGATATGAACTTTTGATCCTTGCCTATCAGAGCTGCAGAGTGCTTCAGTTTGGATGCTGTCTTTTTGGTCAAACATCAGTTGTAGATGCTTCCTATAAAATCTTTATGACGCCTATTAACACAATTATTGGTGCTGACAACAAAGCCCCAAACTTGAAGGAAAATAAATAGGAAAGAGAAAATAAATGCTATTGGGTAGAGTGGATTTAGCCAGTCCCTTACACTTTCTCAGCTTTGTATTAGCTTTAACATATTCACAAACACCACCTTCGAGAGTTTATGACCAAGAATCTCTGTTTTGGAGACACTGATTGTTTTGTTACTCTCAAACTTCACTTTTATTTCTTGTTGAACTATTCTTGCTACATTTTTACATGTAAACTTGCAAATTTAACTATCTCTTATGACAAGGAACATACCTACCAATGCCGCATGGTTACTATTTGTTTTGTGTTTCCTCCTTTCCCTGCACTTATTGTGTTTTTCGCCCGCTGCATATGAAGGAATCCTCTACCCGAACCTGTGAAGTCTGTTTTGGAGGAGGGAATAAATCTATACAAGCTTCACACCAACAGGCATGGAAGGTTCGTAATTATTTTTCCTCGCATATAAATGTGTCTGCTACTTGATTCTTGTATGCAATGGAGAGAATTCTATGCTTGTGACTGCTTTTTTCTTATTACTTCTTATTGGACTGAAAGAAATATCAATAGACCATTTGCGAATTCTCGGGGTAATGCTTAGTTTCTGTTTTGCAATTTATGAATGTTATTTCTGCTTAGTAGAGCAAGATTTTACTCTCTGTAGTTGCTGATATTTGAGCAAGAAGTACAATAAGTATATGGCGTTGCAGTATTAGCTAATCCAATTCCTTGGCTTTGTAATAAAGACCCCATTCATGAATTTTGTAATGAAACCTTCCATTGCTGTCATCAGTCTTTTCTCTTTTAGATTTATTCTGGTGGCCAACTTCTATGCATTTTAAGTTTTGTTTCTGGACTTAGATTGGAGTCAACCAAAGGAATGTATACAAAAGACTGGGCTAAATGGGAGAAGCAATTGCGGGAAATTTTGTTTGACAATTCTGGATATCTCAATTCTGTTCAGGTCAGTATGTACTGTTTGGGTTGTTTCGTGCTGTACTAACTTGATTCATTTTGTATCTGTCAATTACTGGGAGTTTGATTATTCCTCGGTGGTCCACTGCAAGTTAATATAATGGTCTTATAATCGGAGTCTGGCATACAAACTATTATGGGCATGAGTCTGAGAAGCCATTACTTGCTCAATGAGACTTGGACTTAATCGTCTCTATAACAAGCTTTCTATAACTAGAATTATCTGTCGCATATTCCACATCCTTCATGGGAAAGCAGCTTCTATGAAAGCAGACAAGCTCAACTGACAAACTCTTTTGGCTTCCATCCCACTATTCCAAACAAAAAGAAAAGAATTGCCCTCATCTCATTCTTCCAGGAAAAATGAAAAAGGAAGAAAGAAGAAAGTTTGTGTGATCTGTTAAATGACTATTGGTCATGTAATTTTTAATCACTGACCTTGTCCTCTGCCAATTTGTATGTGTCCAGGCTCCGTTTGAATTGTCGGTTAAACAAGTTTTGGAACAATTAAGAGCTATTGCAAAGGGTGAGTATACAACACCGAGAACTGAGAAGCGGAAGTTTGGCAACATCGTTTTTGCTGCTGTCAGTCTGCCTGTAACAGAAATGATAAGTTTTCTCAGTAACGTAAGTAAAAGGTTTTCTTTCTTACTTGTTTAGTCTCTCTCTACCTGAAAATTTGATTACTTCATGAAGTTGATAAAAATGTCTGATTCAAATTGTTCATAATAACTTTACAATGGTCTTTGCATACTCGAGCTACAGTTTGTAAGGGCAAAGGTTGTTGGGACATGCTTTTGGCTGTAATCTCTTTTCATTTCCCTGCTGGGGCATCAATGTCTTCTCTTGTTTTGTTGTATAATCTTTGTTTGAAATCTTGTTGCGGCCTGGGGACTACCCCGACCCTAGAAGAGAAAAGTATACACAGAACCTAGTATCAAGAGCATCAAGCTGGGCAGTGACTAACATTTAGATAGTGCACTATGAGTGGAATTGCAGGCTGCTCCTTTTCCCTTTCTGTGTGTTATTTATTTGGAGATCATATGTTTTTGCTCGAGTGGCTGGTTGACTAGTTTGTGGACTTGAAGACCAAACTCTAGACACATGATATGACCACCACATATGTGGGATTTGACCTTCTAAATGGTTTATCTCGGTTGAATTGAAGACAACTGACAGTAGCCATTTTGTTTTGGTGGTTTTGAAAGATGGGAATGACTTCCATATTTGGTGTTTCTTAGTCAAACTAGATTGCTCATTGGACTGGAATATCTTCTTGGCTCACAAGGAGGCCAGATAGCTAAATAGGCAGCTTAAATTCTAAAACCTATGACGAATTTGTTGCCTCTGATGTTCCCCATTTTCTTGTTTCTTTAACATATATATCTTGTAGCTCGTCCCCTGTCCACCTTGCCATACTAGAGTGAGTGAGTGCATGTATGTATGTGGGTGGGTGGGTGTGAGGGAGAGAGAGAGATAGGGAGTTTTTCTTCATGATTTGTTACCTGTTCTGAATAACAGTCGGTCTGTTTTTGTATTTTTGTGCACCATGTCCGTTTGTATTTTTGATGGACTGCTGATTTCTTCAAGAATTTTATTCCAATAATTTTTAATTGCTTTTAACCTCTTGATTCTCAATTTTGTTTTTCAAATGAACTGATTCTCACGTAATTGGTTAAGCAGTTGGGTGAGAGGAATCCTGAGGTTGAAGCTTTCCTCAAGGACAAGAATATGGAGAACAGTCTTGCAAAGGCTCATGTGACCCTTGCTCACAAGAGAAGTCATGGCGTTACAGCTGTAGCCAGCTATGGGCCGTTTCTCCATCAGGAGGTCCCCGTGGATATGATTGCGCTACTGTTTTCAGATCAACTGGCTGCACTGGAAGCTCGTCTTGGTTCTGTTGATGGTGAGAAGATAAGTTCGAAAAACCAGTGGCCTCATGTCACATTATGGACTGCTGAAGGAGTTGCAGCAAAGGAAGCCAACACACTACCACAGCTGGTTTCGGAAGGGAAGGCTACTCGTATTGAGATCAACCCACCAGTCACCATAACCGGCATCCTAGATTTTTTTTGAGTTATACAATTTTTTCTACTTTTTTAGAATATTGACTATGGTGGGCTTTGGTTTGAATTATTAATTTCCTCCTGATGAGTTTTTTTGGTCGTACAATGTAAAGAAGGCCGAGGAGTTAAAAGGAGGGATTTTGTGGTATCTTATTTTCCTATAGAGCGATTTTGTCGGTACAACATGTAATGTTCAATGAAAACACTATTGCACATTGTAACTCATTAACATAAGAACAAAAACCTGTTCATGAGCTATTGCACAGTTCAAATGTAGCGCAGACAGCCCAAAAGATCACCTGAAAGTGCACTTATCGGAAAAACAGCTTCTCACAGAAGACTTCAAATAACAAGTCGGATAGTCGTGTACATACCATTGTGTAATGCAAGTAGCCATGTTCAAAAAAGATATAATGTAAGCATATTGCAATTTGAGCATCGATGTTGAGGTATTGAGCGGAACAAATACTAAAATCACCAAAAGAGAAGCACCAAAATGTTTCCTCGTTGCCATAAAGCACCAGAATTTGGCACCATTGAACAAGCTGTTTGATGTAAGCCGAAGTTTTATGAACTAGTGTAGCAATCATAGACCAGGCTTCAGCATTGCACTCAAATCATTGCTTTTGATGAAAGGCAGACGAATTAGACGAAGAAGAATTTAAAGAGCACAGGATCCAGAATAGTAAACACCTTGGTACTGTTATAACATAGAATCAAAACTAGTTTTCAGACATACATAAAGAAAAGAAAAGAAGAAACAAGAATGATGCAAACCTTTCTGCAAGGACCCTTCTACAGCAAGGATTATGACCCTAAACAACTATTTTACTTTGAAGTGTCGATGTTATGATCAGGAGGTGGGGTTCCAACTCCTAATCCAATCAGCCAAAGTCGCCAGGTTCGTGTTCATGTCCACGATAGCGTTACTGGTTAGTGCCACCACAATATCCTCGCGATAACTTTTCTTTGCCTCCTCCAGCAACACTTGAAAGATTTCACACTCAATGTTGTTTGTAAGCTTCGCACCCGTATAGCCTCTGCTACAACGAAAGGAAAATGAGGCCAGTAGCAACAGTAATATATTTATAAACCAATGAGTGAAGACACAGAATTCGGAATGATCAAAATTACAATACCTCCCATGTAATCGATCGTACAACACCTCGTTGTCAGTTTGAAGCACCACCACACGGTCAAACCAACGCTCAGGAAAGAAGTCACAGCCATGATAGTCCACAATGTTTCCCCCCTCTTCCATCAAATCCTCAAGTTCATCACACACCTGCAAAAGCCAAACACCACAGAGAGGCATAAACAAACACAACGCCCAAATCATGAGAGTCTAGAGAATTCAAATGTGGGTTTCCTCTGTTTAAAGGCCCATAACCATTTTTATATACTATGGCAATGTTTAAGAGGTCTGAGCACAAATCGGAAAGAGACTACATAGAAGAGGAATTGGATAATGAAATCAATAAGAGATTGCACAAAGGACTGAGATAGTACAACACCAAAATTATTTAGATATGCTTAAAATGAAATTTCAAGCTGTCTTTCAATACAAATTATTTACCACTTCAAATCACTCAATTTACTTTGGGTTACTGTTCAGTATTCATTACCGAGAATTTGAAAGAGAACTCCTAATTCCACAAAGCCATTCAGATGAGACATGTACCACATGCCAGATAAGCACGGACTGCATAAATAGAAAATAGAAGAGCTCAATCACTTCGAGTCTCAAGAAGGTATTAGGTTGATCAGATGCATCATCAATATACTAAAAGGCGACCATTTTAGAAATTTGTAGTCGCAGGTTTATGCAGAAAATGATGGTTGTATAATTTAACAAGACCCGTAGAGAGTCAAATAGATGTCCTTCAAAATAACTTGTAGCTTCTTTTCATTTTCCTTCCCTCCATTTATTTTCCGGTTGGGTAGAGGTCTTGGGTCAAATTCACGATTGACTCACAGTAAGGAGATTGATCCATACATATCACGTGGGCAGATCTGGTATTTGCAGTGCATGTGTTGAGTCAATTCATGGACAAGCTACGCATACCTCACATAGATGTAAAACAATAATTGATATCTTATCAACATATGCTATTTTTTTAACCTAATTTTACAGTGCTATCCTCATCTTATCCTCTACAAAAGGTACAAAGACGCATACCACAACCAAAAACCATTCAATTTTAAGCTTCCTGCAACTTCGGAGAAAATAAAGTTACAACCGGAGTTTTGAGGAAACTAAAAGCGACTAAGTGGCCATACATACAAACAGCTAAAAACCAAAGAACAGCCATCACAAAGATAACACAACGTTTTTGGCCAAGGAAAGATATCACAAAGAACAGCTAGCTAGTGTTACCAAAGAACTAAATTCTGCTCAAACAATCATAACTGAGGCATAATAGGCCTGATTGCAGAGGTTAGTCATACCTCTTTTCCTTCAAATTGGTTGTGTGTGTCTGTGTCTGTGTCTGTGTCTGTGTAAACTAGTAAGGAAATATCCTCAACTGATGTAAAGGTTAAAATGCTACCTCGTAGCCATTTCAATTAGGGTCATTTATATATTTACTCCAAAATTCCCTCCTACTACACCTCCAGTAGAGATTGTAAAAACCCCACAGTATCTTCATTTCGAAAGCACCCAAAATCAAAGCTTACAAGAAATTCCAAAAAGTGAATCAAAATAGCCATCAATCCATGCTTAAATAAAACACCCGAGCGTGTGCCGGAGAGTTAGAATGAAGCGGACAAGAATTGGGCAATAAGGTTATATAGTTTAGAGATGTTACGAGGTCTTCGTTGATGATATAGCAATCAAGCTCGTCGTCCCAACCGTCGTGCAAGTTCTTCTCTTTCACGAGGTCTCCAATGTTGATGTGGCGGAGCTGAGTGGCCGCCTCCAGTCCAGACGCCGTGACCGTCTTGCCCGTTCCAGGTGTTCCGGTAATAAGAATGTTCGGCTTTTTCCTTTGGGCCATCTTCACCACCACACTGATGCTTTGTGTACCTTCTCTTCCAAGTTCTAAGCAGAGTATCTATAGCAAGGGTTTCTTGATGAAGCCTTTTATTAGGGCTTTCTAAGCTTACTTTCTATATATTTTTTCCCTTTAAAACATTAGTTTTTGTTTTTTTTGTAGAACTCAAAATTCAACAGAGCAACCTTAATTCAGGCTCAAATTTAAATTTAAATAAAATAGATAAAAAAACTCTTAAAAAACTTTTCAACTATATATCCAAATTTATATCAAATTAAGAGAAATTCATTTTTTTACTAAAATTTATATCCAAATCTTAATAGTTTGTGAGATTCAATAGTCGTATTTTACTCTCTTTTAAATTTAAAATTTTCTATTAAAGATGTCTATATCAATTTAAATTTTTTAATGAGCATGCTAGCCGAGTTGATCCGAGGTTTATATTCCTTGGACCAGAAAAGAGCGCAACTCTAGGGGCAAAAACTCAAAAAGAGGTAGAGGTTTGGACGAGACTAGAGCCTAGGGTAATAAAACTTTATTTTAGAATTATCGAAGAAACTAATCATATGTGTCAATAATCACATCTTGAATCTCCTAAATATGCATTGCAGTTGGTAGATCTTCTTCATCTATTAGTTGCGTGAACAAGTCTTTTATCTATGAGATTTGTTGAGTAGTTTAACGTTAATCGTGTGCGATAAAATAATTAGTTTTGAGGCTTCCGACTAGCAATGTCTATTAAGCCAACTTTTAACCTCAAAAACATTGTTAACACACATAGGATTTGTGATTTTTAACTTTTTTTTTTTTTTAAATAGAGATTATTAACTGTGGTTCTGCCTATTTATATTTAATTTTTAAATTATTATAAATATTCAAATTATATTTAGTTTTGAATTATAATACATATTCTACTGTTTTAAATATATTTTAACTACATTAAATTTTATAACTACAATAAAAAAAAAATACTTTGTATAGATTAACAAAAAAATAAAGTAAAATAAAAATAAAATGAAATAAAGTTAAAAATTTTGTAGGTGACAAAAAATTCGGGTATTGAGTTGGGCTATTTTCACATATTTTTTTAGTATAAAGGCATGTCTCAAATATCTATTCCCACTCCTTCGAATTTTCTAATATCAAAACTGCTATTTTTTGTTTAATTTTATATTCATCACTTCCTTATCTACTATAATCCCTTAAAATATTTGATCTTCTCTGTCACTTTTCATCTTAGATACCTGAGCATATATTTTCTTCAGTTTTTTATATTGTAAATGAATACATCTCTCTGCATTGAAATTAATAAAAAAAAACTAAAACCCCTCCTGTATCTCACATTGGTTGCACAACTTGTGCATCTAGACTGAGATTTACGAATTTTTTTTTTTTTTTTGTGTTCGGACTTGCTTCGATTAATAAATTATTAAAGACAACGTACCAAAAATAATTTATTAGTAAATTACGTCTAGACCCTCTACAATCTGTAAGCGTATAATACTTGCGTCCTTCAAGTTTAAAATGTTATACTTAAACAAAAAATATTTTAATCAAAGACAACATACCAAAAATACCCCTCAAGTTTTATTATGAATGACTTAGACCTTTTGTTTGATTTTGTTAGTTTTATTTCAATAGATAATATAATTGTATAATAATTATGGTATTTTAAGAAAAAAATTAGATTTTTATTTTTTATTTTATTTCAATAAATGATGTAATAGAACATGAATGACTTAGGCCCCTTGTTTGATTTTTTAATTTTATTCTAATAGATAGTATAATTGTTTACTAAGTATGATTTTTTTAAGAAAAAAATTAGATTTTTTTTTAATTTTATTTCAATAAATAACATAATAGAACATAAATTTTAAATTCATGTTCTATTTTGAATGATTTAGACCCCTTGTTTGAGTTTTTAGTTTTATTTCAATAAATATTATAATTATATATTAATTACGATTTTTTAAGAAAAAAATAAATTTTTATTTTTAATTTTATTTCAATAAATGATACAATAGAACATGAATTTTGGTTATAAAATTTAAAATATTTAATATTTTATATTTAATTGAAGTATTTTTAATCTAAGTATAATATTTTATACTTTAGGAGTCTAAGTATTATACGTCTATAAACTTTAAGAAATCTAAATATAATTTACTAACGAATTAGAACCGACATTGACGACACTAATCTAAGTGTTACACTCGTACAAATTTTAGGAGGCTTATATGTAATATTTTAAATATTAGGGAATCTGAGTAATTAAGTGACAAATTTTAAAAAATCTATATATAATTCTCCCAAAAAATTAAAATTAGCAAAGATTGAGTTTGTAGTGATATTTTATGATGGATAAGCAACTACTTTAGGCCAAGTTTGAATGTCAAGAAATTCTATTATAAGTGATTTAAATTGTCAAAAGTTTTTTATTTAAAGTGTCATTTCTTCTTAAAACTAGATTGGCCTTTTTTTTTCCCCACAAAACATTATTACCACAATTCCAATATAATATAATTGTAATTTATTTGCGGATTATGCCATCATTACCATACAAATCCAAATCTCGCCGATTATAAACTTTCAAATTTTTTAAATTGTAAATCATGTTTGAGTGGAGGTTTACTTGAATTTATAGTAAATAATTTTTAAAAAAATTAAAAAAAATCAATTATCATTCCCCTTGTTTGCCAGCTTATTATAAGTGCTTTACAAAATACGTGTATCACTTACTGATCAAACCTGAGAGACTCTGTGTCGAGGTGAGCAGCAGAATCTCATCTGTGTCTACACCACAAAATGCCAGCAAAGGCCCCCAAAATCTGCATGGCTGACACTTGTCACCCCTGAGTCTCTCTCTCTCCTCTACATAAGCTGCTCTAACTCTCGAATACCCATACTGGGATTTTCATTTTTGACTGATAAATAATCAACACAACCAGAATAGGGAGGTGTGAGTGAGAGCGAAATGGGAAAGAGAAAGGCTTTGTTTCTTCTACTGCTGGTGGTGTGCTATGCACTGGTGGTTTCAGTGGGTGGCTATGAAGAAGATGAAGGAAGAAGAGGGAGGGAACAGGAAGAGGAAGAGGAAGAGGAGAAGAGAGAAGGAGAAGATGAGTCATCGTTCTTGTTGCAGGAGTCAAAGCATGTGGTGAAGACAGAAGCTGGGAATATGAAGGTGGTGAGGGGTTGGAGAGGTAAAGTTATGGATAAGCGTATGCATATTGGTTTCATTGACATGGAACCTAGGAGTCTCTTCATCCCTCAGTACCTTGATTCCAGTCTCATCCTCTTCATTCGCATAGGTACTTATTCATCTCTCTCTCTCTCTCTCTCTCTCTTACACACACACACACACATATATCAGAATTTCATATGAAAAGATTGTTGATAGACTGATATAGAAACTGGTAATTCAAAAGGTAGATGCTATCAAAACAATGCACATTAACATATGTTTAGCATTTCTTTTCACCAATTTTTTTTGTCAAGCAGAACCAACATGGAGTGAAGGCCTTAAACATTTTTCTTACCTTTCATATTTCTTAATTTGACAAAATTATATGTTTGTGTTCTGTTTGATGCGTTCTTGGTTGAAAAAAATACAACCATGTTGATAAGAAGCACCGGATCATATCGTATACAGCTGAATATTTTGTCTGGGTTACCATAACTTTCAGGTTCGATTCTTTTCCGCACCTCTTGAGGGTTACTCTTGTCCTTAAGTGACATGCTCTAACTCAACTCACAACTCACGATATTCAGCTTGAGCTCGAGAGTAGTCGACGCAACCTTTCAAAAAAAGAATAATTAAAACGTGACTAATTAAAAAAATCAAAACCAACAGGTGTGCTTAGAAGCTCTTCTCGACAAGAGACAGGTTGTAATCAACAATTTTATGTTAGATAATACATAAGAAACAACCCACTGTGTTTTCAAGACATATCGGTGGTTTTTCAAAGAAAAGTGGAGGGTATAGATAGGGATATGCCCACATCCAAAATGCATCTAGAAATGAAGAGAGATTTTATTCAACGCTTATCGTATTTGATTTGAGTATTTTTGACCTACCTAAATGGAGTATTCGTGCTTCAATAATGAATGAGCAGATACATAAATAATTTGGGGAATATGGTTGGTTTCAGGGGAAGCAAGAATTGGGCATATCCACAAAGATGAACTGGTGGAGAGGCGACTGAAGAGCGGAGATGTGTACAGGATCGCAGCCGGTTCGGCATTTTACATGGAAAATACAGCAGAAGGGCAGAAACTTCATATCATTTGCAGCATCGACACATCTGAGAGTTTAGAACGGAACACCTTCCAGGTTAACTCTCTCTTTTATATCCAACTTTCTTAAATTTTTTGGCAAGAGTGTCTGATATGATAAGAGAATGCTATGTTGGTTTACAACAGAACTGTACACAAAGGGGCTCCAATTTTTATTTTTATTTTTATTTTTTGGCATTACGATGGCCAGTATAATCTTTTAAAAGGTAGGTCATTCATGCCGGAATTAGGGAATTTAAGGATAAATCTCGCCTGCCCTCGCCCCTACGCCTGCCCTTGAAAGAATTGTTAAATTTCGAACTCAAAATATCTGGATTTACCACTGGGCCACCCCTTAGGGTTAAGTGGCTCCAATTTTGTTGAGTAAGCTTTGTGCTAAAAATTGAACTTAGTTTGATTTTCTGGCACTAATTATCAGTCTTGCAATTGAATTGAACAGTCAAAGAATTATTTGGAATTGATTCGGATAGAAGATTGTTCGAGTTTCTTTGTTTATTAATTGATTTCGAGTATAATTTATTTATTTTTTATAAACAGCATGACCCCAAATAATAGTTTGTTTGGGGTGTTACGATCGTGAACATAAGTATTATATTTTGAATTACTTACGTAGATACCTATATATAAACACATTTTAAGATCTGAACTTGATCTTGAACACAAAGTTGACTTTGCATTTGAATTTGCAATCGAGTCTGACACTCTGAGCTTGAGGCAAAAATTGACAAGTTGAGCTTAAACCCTTGAATACATACTTTTTGAGAACGATGAACCAAGTCTGAACAATTTAGTGCTCAGTTTGTATTGAAGTATAAATACTTAAGTAACACTATTTTTCAATTATTTAAACTTTTAAAATAAATAATTATTTAATATAATTTTTTAGGCTCAAAATATAGCTTGCACGTGAGGGGTGTGTTGAAGTATAAATAGTAGATGGTTGTTTAAGAGCTTGGTTCTGCTCGTTTTGCATCCATAGTGCTAATTCAGTAGCAAATCATGCATTTTTACGGACTTGTGTACGGATAAAAAATTAGATACTTCTCTTTAAAAACTGATATGCTGTTTCTGCAGTCTTTCTTCATTGGTGGAGGAATGAATCCACCCTCTATACTTGCTGGGTTCGATCCCCACGTGCTGTCTGCTGCATTTAATGTAAGTATAGGACTTTCATCTTTGTTAAACACTATCCATATTTGTAGCCATTTTTGTGGAAGCTTTTGATCATAACCAGAGACCATATAAATTTCTTGACAGGTCTCAGAAGAAGAAATAAGGGAGATTTTGAGTAGGCAACAAGAGGGCGCAATCGTATACTTGCACGATTCTCATCCGCCAAGCGTGTGGACACAATTTGTGAAACAAGAACAGCATGAGAGAAAAACACACCTTAAGAGAATTGTCCACCTTGAAGAGGAAGCTGATCAGGAAGAAGAAGAATCTACTTGGTCATTGAGGAAGCTTTTGAATTCTGTATTTGGAGTAGAAAACAAGAAAGAAGGAAAGAGTAGGAAAGGACCGGACTCCTACAACATCTATGATCGTAACCCTGATTTCAAGAACAGCTATGGATGGAGCATGGCCATTGATGAGTCCGATTATTCTCCTCTTGGTGACTCCGACGTTGGTGTTTATCTTGTCAATCTTACTGCGGTAATGTGTCTCTTGAACACCACCTCTACTTTGGTGTCAGCAACATTGTTTCCATTTAATAAATATTTCAAGAGAAACATAAACGTACAATACAGTTCATTACCCATCCTAGAGCTACACAAAGCATGCTCTAGTTAGCGATGCTCAAGATTAGAAGTCATTCATCAAATTGGTTGAATAAAAAAAGGGCGTACCCAGCCATTGTGGGGTTTGGGGAGGGCTATGGAACGTATGTGTTATTATTTTGGTTGAATCAGACATCTAAAATAATAACATATGGGTCATATGATCCTGTTATACCTATTGACTAATCACCTAGTGTAAGATAATAGAGCACTTTTACAACCCGAAAACCAAGAGAATATTCTCTCACATCCCGAAGGACTAAGATAAAATCACTTGTATGCGCACTAAGATCTGTATGCACACTAAGATTTGTATGCACACTACAATGGCTTTTCCTCATAAATACCGGTGTGATCTTTCTTTTCTTGTTGATGGGTGATATGGTCCTATGTCCTTTGATGGGCTTGAGGCCCTCTGGTTAACTCGACAACCCTTCATTTGTGGAAGGCTTTCATGGAGTCTTTTTCCATCATCTTCGCTAGATGAGGATTCATCAATACAAGGAAATTTCAAATTAGCTGTGTTGACACTATTTTTTTCAGGGATCAATGATGGCACCACATATCAATCCAAGAGCAACAGAGTATGGAATTGTGCTAAGAGGAACTGGTCGCGTCCAGATTGTGTATCCAAACGGATCACTGGCGATGAATGCCAAAGTGAGCGAAGGCGAAGTGTTTCGGGTGCCACGGTACTTCCCATTCTGCCACATTGCATCGCGAAGTGGCCCTTTTGAGTTCTTTGGTTTTGCTACATCAGCACGCAAGACCAGGCCACAGTTCCTGGTCGGGGCGAACTCACTTCTGCAGACCATGAGGGGACCTGAACTTGCAGCAGCATTCGGAATCAGCGAGGAGAGGCTTAGGAACATCACCGATGCTCAGCGCGAGGCAGTTATCCTTCCTTCACCATCCGTTGCTCCACCAGACAACACGCGAGACAGCAAAGATAAAAGCAAGGTTGATCTGATACCGAAGGTCATGAAGAACTTTGGCAATGATATGGTAATAGGTTTCTATTAGTTGGGTGACTTGGTGAGGATGAATATGATAGTAGAAAGGCTAGAAGCTCGGCTTTAGAAGTTTTGTTCAGCATTTTGTTTTTGTGTCTGTTTGTTCAGTATTGTTTTTGATTCTCTACTTTCTGGTTTCTTTGATCTCTACCCTCTGTTTATCAGTGATGTGAAGAAGGTGAACTTGTTTTCTTTTTCCTCCTCCTAACTACGTGATACATTTGAATTCCAACTGTAGTAACTGCCAAAAATTAATACCACATTTGTGGCTTACTGCTTGTAACTCAGTGTGATTATCCCAGATGAGCTTAGCAACGTCTGGCAGATTCCTCGTTAGACTAAGAATCACATACAATCCTGGGAGAGAAATTTAAGTGCTCTAATTACCCAGAAAAATTGACTTAATGTCGGTGGGATGAGTAAGAATAAGAATTTGACACTATACTTAACGTCCTCCTGTACTAGTATTTATAGACTTGAGACACCTATTCAAGTGAATGGACACAATCTTTTCAAAAGATTGTGGCTGTTAACACAATTGCAACTCTCCCAAGAGTAGTGCTGATTTAAATTTTAAACAATACTTCTTTTTCTCTCTTCATGTATGAGAAAATAACCGTGAATCATTACACTTATGCATGATTTACATGTACAAGTGTGATAATCCAATCCCTGGTCAACACAGTGGACATCCAACATTTTCAAGTGGAAATTGATGGCAGGACGTTATAAAACTTGTTTTGTTTTAAGGGTTACTAACTATACCAATACTAATTCATTCTTATTTGAACTATTTGTTGTTGTTTATTGTTGGGTGTTTGGTTGTGTTTAGAGTTGGATTTGTGTCATTTTTAATCAAATATGTGTTGATTCATTTATTTGGTGAGTCTTAAATGGATCAACTTGTCTTGCTAAGGTGGGGGGAAAAATGAAGCCCATGGCCTTACCCACTTAGTTTGCTCATCTACCATGATCTATCTAAGAGAAAAAATTAAATAAAAGTGCAATCAGAAATATCTAGAAGCACTTCACTTCTTAGTATGGTAGTTATCAAGAGTTGGTTAGTGAATATGGTGAGACCACTTAGAGCAACTTTAACGCACTAGTTAAAATCTCAATCTTAACTATTTTGAAGAGTCTATCCTTAAAATTTCTCTCTAATCCGGTCTCTATCCTAGTAGATATTTTAGCAAATCCATTTTTCACTCTCTAGAAGTAGCGAGTAGATTTTAGCTCGGTATTTGCTCTTTTGTGCCAAAGTGGTCTTCGTCTTCTTCGGCTATGGCTTCATCGTCTTCAGTTATGGAGTTCTCTCTCTCTCTCTCTCTCTCTACTTGAGTTGACAGAAACTTAAGCCGATAGATTTTGGCTGGTCTTTACCCAGGTATGGCATCCAATTCATCCAAGGTGATTCTAATTCTTCCTTCGCTACTCCATCAATTAGGATTTTTTATTCCCATGTCGTCTGATTGGTGGCATGTGAAGAATGAAACAATTGCTCAAACCCCCAATTTTTTTGAGGGATTTTCTTTCATTTGCATCAAGTCGTCAAGACAATGATATGAGGGACTTTTAATGTTTTATTTGTATGTAGTATTCATCCATCAAACTCTGATTTTTGAATCTAGGTTTTTTTATTTTTTTTGTTAATTAAATTGAATCTAGGATGATTGCCTGATGGTTTGATTGATGATATTGATCCAAGGTTCGATTTTAATACATTTAATAATATGTTAAAATCATTTTTGGCTTTTTTTGATATTTTTGTTAATTATATAATGTGTTGAAACCTCCATAGAATGATGGTTTTTTGTGATATATTGAACAATCATAGATACGATGATATATATTTGTTAATGATACACTTTAATTATAGCAGTTGAAAAAATATGACCATCGAAAATATAACTGTTACCAGTAAGACTATTGCAAAATTTAAAATTCAAAATATTGATGACGTATCATGTCACATCATCAATATGGCGATGATATGTTAGGCTATGTAGCATTTTTTATTTATATTTTTGAAAGTTATTTAAAGTTAGTTGAAGTAGTTAAATAAAATAGATTGTTTGGTAGAAGTAAACTTGTAAAAGTGACTAGGTAAAATAGAGAATGCAATAATTAAATATATTTTGATTAATCATTTTAGAGAATTGGGTTGGAATTGCTCTTACTAAATTATAGTAAACGGTGATGTCACGTGATGATAATAATTTAATATTATCATTATAAGAATATTTTTTTTAATAGGATAAAACCCTTTTTTCGAGTAAATATTCAGTATAATAATAATACATATTATCGATGATATGTGTTATTACCAATCAATAATAATACGCATAAGATAAGAGGATCTCATTATTCTAAAGTTTTAGTTATTTTGTATAGTGGTTATTGAAAATTACTAAAAGAGTAATACTATTGAGACCTAAAAATATGAGTTAATTTACTAACTCATTAATGTGACTTCAGTGTAACTGTTAGAGCATTTCTAGTCATGATTTAAATTTGAGTAAAAAACTTAATTTGGTATAAAATACTCCAGTTAAAAAATTCAAACATCTACTCAAATCTGCTAAAAAAAATTTTTATTATCCCAAAAAATTATTTTTTTTGTGTCATTCAAATCATGAAATATGATAAAATAAATAAAACTTTCGCAACTCTCCACAATTGGTAGTTCAAAAAAAATTGACTATGGATATAATACCACCTAAGAATAAAAAGAAACAAAAAAAATAAAAGAAAACAACCCCACAATTCTTAAATTAGTCTAATCCCTTATCTTCCTTTGTAAATCCAGATAAAGAAAAAAAAGGGTAATTACTTTGACATATGTCTGGTCTGCACTGCAGAACACAAAAAACGGATTAATTTCAACCAAAATAGATGATTGAAGAAATAAAATGAAGAATTTTCTAAATTTATGAATAGTGAAAGTTTGAAATTTCACGAAGAATCGATAGCCTAAAATTATTGCACCGATAGTGTTTAACTTGAAGAAATTAAAAAAAAATTGATGGGTAAACTTAAGATTTATATAATATGAAATATGTGTGAGATTAGAGTTTTGAAAAATATAAAATATCAAGAAGACAAAGATGAAAAGGAATAAGCTTACCTAAAAGTCTTTAAGAGATCTATGAACGTTACGGTTGTCATCGACGATGGAAGTAACAGAAAAAAGAGAGATAGGGAACAAGTTGTCGAAAAAATCTTTTGGGCTTTGGATAGGATAAAAAGTTATCGTCGAAAATTTGATATATAATTTGAATCTCCTTTAATTTATCAATGTTATTTTTTTATTTGGTAAGATTTTTGGATAATTTAGAAAAAAATAGAATTTTAACTATTTTTTTCTAGTTAAAACTATGAATTTTTCATAATTCTATAATATAATATGAACAGTAAAAAATTAAGTTTAATAAATTTAGGATAATATTTAATTCAAATACATATATATTAATATATTTTATTAATCTCTGTGTACAAAAATTATTCCCATACGTGTATTGTTAGTATGATTTAAAAGGGTAGTTCTGTTATTAATTTTTTTTAAAATTAATTTAAATTTAATTATTAAAAAAAATTTCCTTAATCACTTATAAAATTTGTGATTGTCGCTATTGTCCAATTTTCACTTTAACATTTTCAACCATGTTGGAGTTCACGCTTGTTCGCTCCGCTGTCCAATTGGGCCGTCTTATCCTCAAAAAAGCAGAGCAGTCGTGAAGAAGTTACGATGAGATATCATCATCATCATCATCATCATCGTTCTCTCCTGATTCTTCTTGTATCAATCATTTGTCTGTCGAGTTTGATACTGCATTTTACAAATGCTGAAGTTATAACCCTAACAGCCGACACATTCCCTGACAAGGTGGTTTTAGCTCATGTTGTATTCAAAGCGTCTATATCTATTTCTCCTTCTATTTTTCTGCTCAAGAACAAGATCTGTGATCCACTTTACCATTTCAAATCTAGGGTTTTCCATGCCTTGATGATTATTGATTTAAGATCAGGGTTTGTTGATTGTGCGTGTTTGATTAGGTGAAGGAGAAAGACACTGCGTGGTTTGTGCGATTCTGTGTTCCTTGGTGTAAGCACTGGTAATAAGTTCCGTGTTTATCTGCTTTATCATCATACTGGGTCTCATTTTGGCACTTTTAATTTAAGTTGTTTTCTTGCTATATGCTATTACCATGTGTTTTAGTAAAAACTTGGGGACATTGTGGGAGGATTTGGGAAAGGCAATGGAAGGAGAAGATGAGATAGAGATTGGATTAGTTGACTGCAGCACAAGTAATCCCGTGTGTACCAAAGTTGAAATTGATTCTTATCCTACGTTCAAGCTCTTTTATAATGGAGAAGAAGTTGCAAAATACCAAGGTAACATTGAAACTTAATTTGTTTCCAAGATAAATTTGCCATCACCCATGTTCGTGAATTCGTAGCTCAGTTATTAAATGTGTAACTCATTATTCAGAAATGTTTGCTTTCTTATTTTCTCGTTATAAGTTGTTACCTTGCTTATGGATTGAATGTTATATGAATTCCTTTCATAACTGATATTGTAATTTTTTATTTTTTATTTTTGTGGTCTGAAGTTGTTCTATTTGTAGGAACATGGCATTTAGGATATCTGGCAGGTCACTTGGGGTTTGTTTTCTACGGGGAATCATCAATGATATATAAGCTGTAAAAGGAAATCCTAAGGTAACTGGGAATGATAGAATAGGGGCACAATTGGCCTTAAATTATTTCCCATAATGTCTAAAAGAAAATTATTTTTGTCTAATCCAATATGGTTCAAGTTCTTAATTGTCAACAGAAGGCCAATTTCACCTGTGTCAGTTGTCGTGTAAGTCTACGAACAAACATCCCAGCATAAGCAACCAATAAGGAGAGTAGGAGACAATTTGAAAGTGAGGTCCAAGACATGTCCTGTTTTACTATGCAAGAGCGAAAGTGATTAGGTGTGGGTGTGTTGAAACAAATGTAGTGCATTATAGCAAAGGCACTTAACTTAAATTGGTGATCAGCACTTAGCATATAGACAATGGCAAACCTGATGTTGCTGAAGGACTTTTAGATCGGATGGCTTGCTTTTCGTACATGTATAGCTTCTTTAGTTGCTCTACGTAGATGTCTTTGTTCAACTAATGTTGGTGAAAATCATGTCCCTATCATGCATTGATTATGTGATTGATAAGGAATTTGGGTACAAGAGTTTGCAAATTGTTGTTTATTTTCTGCTATTGTTGCCCTATCTTTTTTGAGAGGATGTCTTTGTTTTAATTTTAGACCTTTTTTCATCACGAAATAATCAAGTTAATTATGGCTTAGACCAAAATAGTTCCAATACCGTGGCATTTGGTAATTAGTGGAATTGTCACATGAAAACCAAGAAAAGCTGTTATTGCTTTGTGATCTCACATTAACATTGAGAATTGTAATGGGATCACAAGAGCTATTACTCAAGCTTGAGCGAAGCAATCGCCTTGTATGCAAATAAAGCTTATTTTTTGGATCTCATACTCTGGTCAGTTACCTAAACAATCAAAACTTCAGTGAGCCTGAAGCGTGTAGAACTCAAGTTGCAATGCATTTAACAGCCATTACCATTAACTCAATAATGCATGAAATATTTAGAATTCATTCCCAATTCTAGGTTGGTCTTGCTTTCTGTATTTTGTCACATTTGGTTGACCTGCCTATGCTTATCAAAATCCTGTTAATCAAATCTCTCTCTCTCTCTCTCTCCTGTTTTTCTCTGCATCTTGGCTTCTTGTATCTCCTTAGCCCTCCTAGCTTTCTTTCATCTTTATAGTCCTTTACCCTTCTTATTTTTTCTAATTTCTTCATTTTCAATCCTTAGGGATCAAAACTGTGACTCAAATGAAAGAATGTTGAATAATTGCATAATGGAAGGTTTTCGTCAGCCTGAATTCCAAGCAGAATTAGCACATGAGATTGCTTTTAGTCAATTTAAAAGATACATGCAATGAGCCCGACTCAGATAAAAGAGTCTTGAAATGATTGCATAGTGGAATCGAACTTGTGAAAAGACACTTTGAAAGTTTTAGATAGCCTGAATTCCATCAGAATTATGCATGAGATTCCTTTTGGTTAAATTCTCTGTGTTTTTGTTTTGAGTTTCAATATCCTTGTGTTTATTTATTTTTCGGTTCAGATCCGTGATTCGAATAATGTGCATAACTTGAGATTCTGTACCAGAACATCCTCTTGTCCTAATTATCAATATGCGTACACTAAAAACCTGTAATTTCCTTTTTCTTTTAGTGGGTTAGGAAATGTCAGTGCATTAGATTATATTTTAGTGATCTCATTATGTTGTGGACCATGTTGTCACTGAATATAGTTCAACTCCTATTTTTCGTTTGGGTTTTCCCCCCTTCTCTTTCTTCCTTTTTTGGGTAAATTTTTTGCATTGAATTGGTTTTCATAGGTTTTTACATTGTCCCATTTTGTTTGTTATAATCAGGGGCGGAGGGAGGGTGAGAGCAGTGGGAGCAAATTTTGAAAACTTTTGGGGTTAGTTTAAAAGTATAAGAAAATTAAAAATTTTCAATATTTACTCCCACTGGTTTTTTTTTTTTTTTTAAAGTTCATTAGACTTAATCTCACAATTCTTCTTTACTCTCTAGCTATTTATGTTCTTTCTACAATGACACATGAAGTTACCAAACTCATCCTACTCTAAATTCGATTATCTAGATATGAATTGGTATGTTTAATTAATTATCCAAGTTCAAATATGCTATTATATTTCAAGAATTTAGATTTGAGAATACTAAAATTTGACTTAATTGTGAGTCGTAAATGATTCACAAAAACACATGCACACATGTGTATGTATAAGATTTAATTTGCGATCAAATTTTTAATATCTAATGGATATGGATATGAATTGTAAAGATGTATTTTAGTGGATAATCAGGTCTTATTCAAAATGGAGTTTTCAAATCAAACTTGGATTCCAATCACGCAAAATTTGATGATTGACATGTCTATTTATAGTTTATTTACAGAATGACTAGTCAAAATAACATTTTCTATGAAAATTATTCTACTACTAATACTTTCTATAAAATATATTTCATTTAACTTTTCATAATTACGTCCTATTTTTTTACATGTCCTATTTTTTTACATGTAAGTTATACGTAAAAATACTTTTAAAGAAGCAAAGTAAAAAATTACTATGAAGAATTACTTTACAAATAGTGTAAATGGTAAAACACTCATATTTTTAAGACAACAAAATTTGATGATTGTTCTTCAATCGTTCTCCTCAATTTGATGATTGCCCCCCACTGAAATGGACTCTGGCTCCGCCCAGATCATAATGGAAGGTAACATTTACTTTCCTGGATGGTAATATAACTTCTTGCTGATATCTATGCTTATGCCACTGACTGTATAGAATTTCTGTTCCTACTGAATCCAATTTTGACTTTCCCTTACTGGCTAATCAGGGGCAAGGAACGTGGAGTCCCTTAAAACATTTGTTTTGGATGAAGTGGAAAAGGCAACTGCAAAAACACAGCTCGACAATGACAAAGATTTGTGATTATCTGTTAGGTATACTATAGACTTGATATATTTATTTGGAAATTTGGTTAACTACTTCGATAAGTAAGAGCGGTTTACAAATTACAATTTTGCTAGAAAGAGCGGTTTACAAATTACAATTTTGCTAGAGTATGAGCATGAATGCAGTCTATGAAGTCCATTTTCATACTTATCTTATATGAGTTTTGATTGTATAAAAATTGGTTCTTAGGTAATTTGACTTCCAATCTGGTGCAGTTTTGGTGCTTTTGATGGAAGCAGCGAGGTTTTCCCCATATCCCGTCTCCCTAAAACCTTATTTCCATAACCCAGTCAGTTTTGAACTTATTTCTCAAACTCAGTTTATTTTTGAAAACGTCATTTGTACTGACGCCTTTTGGTGTAAAAACGTCATTTTCAATGACGATTTGAAGTTGAATTTTTTTTTCAAAAACGTCATTACAAATGACGTTTTTAAAATCATTATTTTTAATGACATTGTTTAACAAGAATTTTTAACGGACACTTAACAGACGTAAAAAAAATATAGGGACGAAAATGTCATTCAAAATAACGTTTTCTTCACTTTTATAAACTAATGATGTTTTTTTACCCCTTAACAGTCTACATTGACGTGTTCTACCCCTTAAGCCTTTTTACATTGATATTTTTTACCCCTTATGCTTTTTTACATTAATATTTTCTACTCCACTTTAGTATGTCTCACACCATGATTTAGTAGATAAAACATAAAAAAATAAATAAATTTTAGAATTTAATTCCCTTAGCGTTGTACATTGACGTTTTCTACCCCTTAATTTTTTATATTGATGTTTTCTACCCCAAATGTCATAAAAGTTAAATAACGTCACCTCACCTTATGTTTCTTCACATCATGATTCACCAGAAAAAAAATTAAATAAATTTTGGAATTTAGTTTCCTTTTCATAAAAATTTTAACTAATTTTATAATTGAAAATAAAATTCATAAAAGCACAATTTAATTTTATATTACATATTTAATAAAAAAACTTAAAATCGTGTTTTGAAAGCACAATTCTTCTATCAAAAAGTATGTTTTGTATATGTTAAAAATATCAATACTATAATCTCACTTTTAACGTCATAAAAGTATCCTAATATGGAGGAGTTTTTCCCCAACTTAGTCGTCTCTAAATTTTTATTTCTCAAATTCAAGTTTATTTTTTAAAAACGTCACTTTAAAGGCCATGGTTTTGAAAAACGTTTTATTTTTTAAATATTTTTGTATATGTTAAAATAGTATGTATTCCAATTATATGTTATAAGTTCATCGAACATTTATAGTTGACCTACAAAAGTGTGTTGAACTTTAAAAAATTAAAAGTATTACTTATACATTACAACATAACAAATTTATTACATCAAACTGTAAGAAATACAGTCTGTCAATATTTTGCTTGATGTATAAAACAACATAGAGGGTTGCCCAATACACATAAACTTGATGGAATAAAAGTGTCAGACGCATAATCACTTAAATCGAAATAATCAGACAATTCTATATCTGAAACAAGTAATGGATACTACAAAATTTCAATCTCAGTATAATCAGGATTAAAATGCTCAATTTTTGCATGGTCGATTGCATGCAAACAATTAAGTCTGCACTGTATTTGATCATTTTCATGTTCAAGTCTTGCTATGATCTCGTTATGATTGGTAGAGTTTTGTGGATCATATATATCAGTCGAACGTGCCTTCGGTACCATTAATTCATGTCAATGACAATATATTTCAAGCTCACAACGTTTGTCATATAACTGTTGTCATATTGGTGTGGGTTCGATACGAACACTCGAAGGCGGAGAGTCGGTCACAGGCCCTACAAATACGTGTCCAACTTGACTGAATGAGTGATAAGGGTCGATGAGCTCATTACGGAACTCACGCTTTTGTCCATACCAAGTTACATCGGTAGAATCTGTGTAGAATTCAATTGAACGAACTACTTATACACCACATGCTACTCGGCTAGTCGAGCGTTGACGTTCGTAGGTTGCAGATGAACTTTGTTGTTCATTGCGTGATGAAGAACCTTAGGTGGTTTGACTGGATTGTCTCTTAGATGTGCGTCTAAACATATTTAGGGTTATGATGTACACAACGAATAAGTATGATTTATATAGACACGAAATACAATTATATATAAATTTGACAAGACAAGGCCTGAATATGAGTAACATGACTTGACATAGGTAAAGTAATGATAGGACTCCACACTGATAAAATAATGACATAATTCGTGAATGACAAAAGGACTAACATGATTTGACAGTAGACTGACTACATTGATAAAACAACACTGACATGACTTGTCACTAGACTGACTAAACTAACATAACAATATAATGAGTTCAAAACGCAAAAATAAATACACAATATTTCAAATGCAAAGGACTGACATGACTTGACATTGCACTTCAAATACAAAGGACTGACATGACATTACATTGCAATGTAATGAGTTCACTAGACTGACTACACTTTAAATGCAGACTTTGTTAAGCTTCATCAGACATATAATTATCTGACATGTATTGTGCATTACACAATATATTGTTTTGCTCAACTAGTGTTAACTCTCATCCATGTGCAGTTTTCATCATGTCTTTTGCTTGTTGGAGCATATAATAGTGAGACCTACGAACCAGCATTCTATTATTCTATTTTCGAACTTGTTTTACTGTTGATTCGTAATCCTTTCTATTCCGGCGTTGAATTGTTAATGATTGTCTACGAGGTACTAGTATGTCAAGTTCTCTTAATTATGTAAATAGTTCGTCTGATTCTTTAGCACGAAAAGCTCACTCTCGTCGTACTCCTGCATAATACTCTTTTGGATCTGAAAATCTCTCATTCTTGTAATCATCATTCCGCTCTTGTACTAACCAAACCCGTTCACGTCTACGATTGTTAAAGCTCGTAGAGAAATTTGATGTAAACATAATGTTTTGTTTGCCATATCAATTGGAAAATGGTGTTTAAATAGTAGTGTCCTAAGCATACTGTGTTAGACAAGTCATATTAGTCAAAAGTGAAACAATATAGTTACACACGTCTGCTGAAATCCATTCAAAGTGTAGTCACTTCAAGACAGTGTTTGAAAAAACTCATTCAGGGTTAAGTTAGTTCAGCACACGATATATTGAAATTCATTCAGCGTTTTGTCACTTCACCACATAGTCTGCTGACATCCATTCAGGGTGTAGTCACTTTAACATATGACATTAAATAGTCACGAGTAGTTACTTTTTTTTCTTCAGCATTATGATAAAGCAGTTAGTTGTCACTTAAAGACAGTGATTGCAAAAACTCATTCAATGGTACGTTAGTTCAGCACACGATTTGACGAAACCCATTCAACGTTTTGTCATTTCACCACATGGTTTGCTGACATTCATTTAGAGTGTAGTCACTTCAACACATGACATTAAGTAATCACGAGTAGTCACTTTTTTTTCTTCAACATTATGATAGAGCAGTTAGTTGTCATTTCAAGACAGTGTTTGCAGAAACTCATTCAGGGTTACGTTAGTTCAGCACACGTTATGTTGAAACCCATTTAACGTTTTGTCACTTCATCACATGGTTTGCTGACATCTATTCAGAGTGTAGTCACTTCAACACATGACATTAAGTAGTCATGAGTAGTCACTTTTTCTTCTTCAGCATTATGATAAAGTAGTTAATTGTCACTTCAAGACAGTGTTTGTACTAATATGGTCAGTTGTTGGGAGATTTATGTAGTCACTATATATTCACCATCTTTACGCAAGTAAGTACACATCATCTGATTTCTAACATGAATTATAGTGTTAAAACTTTATATGAAAATATGGGTTATCATTGGGCCTTAGAGGATGAGTTCTTTTATCCAATGAATCCTCGTTTACGTTATTCTAGTAGGGCCGTAAGAACCATGAGGGCTGAATTGCAATATCGTCTGACAGAGCGAGAAAATTTTATTGGCGATATGCAAACTCGTAATTTATGAAAGCCTCGACAAATTGCAATCCATATGCCAGTTGAGACACCTTAACAACTAGAGCAAACATTATATTGTTTTTGAGCTGAGAACAATCGCATGGCAATCCGTCTTAATCGTTACAACCTTCGTCGCATCGCACGAGAACGTGCTGAAGAAGGGTTAATGGAAGAAGCACGTATAAGTTTCCTTCTAAGTGGAGAAGTTGGATGTATTTTTGATATCGAGATGTCTGATGAAGATGTTGACCCATAAAATAAGTTGTGTGGAGAACTGTGTTGTTAATGTTGTGTGGTGAACTGTGATGTTAGTATTGTGTAATAAACTGTCTAGTCAGTATTGTTTGGACAAGTGTTAAATTAGTGTTGTGTTGTGTAGACAAGTGTTATGGTAATGATGTGGGAACAAGTGTTATGTTAGTGTTTCTACGTAGAATTATTATATTATTGTTGTGTGAAGAAGTTGTATGTTAATGTTGTTTTGTGTAGATCATGTTATTTTAGTGTTAATTTTTACATGTGAAATGTAAGGTACGTGTAATTTTGAAGTCAATTAAATTTGTTATGATGGTGAAGTTATGTATGTGACAACTTGATTGTAGAATACTATAACAAAACATCTTTGTATAAATGACAATGTATATACAAAAGAAAACATTAGTACACAGTATAACAAAATAAAATGCATCAAATACATGAATATCATATCATGTCCCACATGCAGGTGGTCGCCTACGTCACTTCGGCTGTCTGCGAACCTCTTGCTCAACATCCTGTGATAAGTGCACGCCCTCTACCTATCCCTCGCCCCCGTTCCTGACCTTGTCATCCACCTCTAACCCGTGGCCTGACTCGCACAAGGCCTGCACCTACAACTGTAGGATCCTGTGTCACTCCCTCCTCATCTAATAATGGATCTGATACGAGAAGCTGTGTAGATGAGGTAGGTATTAAATCAACTGCATACGATATCAGGGTAGATGCCGATGCCAA